TTGCAAATGCCCCCCCCCCGAGTGGCTCTGCCGGTGCCTCCCTGCAGGCAGGAGGGGTGTTTGGGCAGGGGATGGGTGACCTGGGTAGGCTGCGGGGGAGGCGGGAGGGTGCCCTGGGTGCTGACCCTGTCTCCCTGCTTCCCATCAGGTCTCCTACGAGGATGTAAATAGACTGAAGAAATTTGGGGTCCTGGAGAAAGCCCGCATCCCCCATTTCATGCAGGACCTGGAGCGGTACATGAAGCAGCTAGACCACATCGTCACCACCAATGGCCTGAACGAGGAGGAGCTGGAGCAGCTGCTGCCCGACTGAGGGGCCTCTCCCCCTCAAACCGGCACCCCGAGGCCGTAACTGGTGCCATTTATTGGATATTTACTGGGGCTGGCTGGAGCCTGGAGAAGAGGGCAGAGCCCGGGCGGCCGCTGTGCATGTACTGCTGTGTAGGGTAGCGCGGCCGAGAGCGCCGATGTGGTTAGTATTGATGTGTACCCCACCCCTCACCGTCCCTGGTGTATTTTGGGGATGGCTGCATGGCACCAGAGAGACAGAGAAGAGGGTTCAGAGGGAGAGAGGGCAGAGCTGGGGCAATGTGCTGGTCCCCTAGAGGTGCGGGAGGCTGTGTTGGGGTGGTTGCGATGGGGGAGGGTGGCCGTAGGGTGCCATGGGGTGCTCCCAGCAGAGCAGGGGCACCTACTCGGGGTCAACACGCAGGGCTGGGGGCTCTGGGCTGTGCCTGGCAGCCCTAGCAGGGAATAAGGAAGGACTTTAATCTCTGCTCTCCCCCTGACTCCTACTAGATATTTGCCCACAACTTAACCGTTGCTCCGCACCCCAACTACAGCCACTCTGCCTGGCTCTGAGGCACAGGAGGACTCAGGGTGGGGAATCGGGCTTCATGTTAGGAAAAAGCGTGTAATAAAAATGATGTAATGGAAACAACGCGTGGGCAAAAGGTTGTGGATAGCATCAACAGCCAGGCTGGCACCACTGCGAACGCTGACCACGCGTCTCGCTTGCAGGGCTCAGAGCTGGTGCGTCAGGAGCAGGAAGGGGTCACCAGAGTGTGTAAAACAACTTACTGGGCAGGGATAACATTAATAAATCCAAGTAGGCAAAAGCAGAAGCCGCCCTGAGCTGTTCCTGGTTTCTAACACGAGGTCTCTGCCACAGTCACAGCACCCTGGCTGTGCCACCCCTGTGAGAGTCGACTTAAAAGAGGAAAAACAAAACAAAACAAAAACTAATCCAACAGCAACAACAGATTTAGTTTTGGCTTCTTTTTAGCTGTTGCCCTTCATCCTGCTGAGCTCTGCAGCGGTAGCACAGGCCCATCTGTGGCTCCAGAGAGCCCAGGCTCAAATCCAAAAGCTCCGAGTTTGGCTGCAGGCCGCCTTCACAGCACCCCTAGCTGCCCCCCACACTCCCGATCTCGCAAGGCAGCTGCAGCCCCTCCGCAGGGTGTGGATGCTCCGGCAGGCAGAGCAAGCTTGGGAAGGGATGAGACCACTTGTCTTGGGAGATTTTGTTTCCCTCTGGTCCAGGTCTCCAATCATACAGTGGCATTTTTAACAGCTCCGCTCTGCGAGCACCCCTGCGTGACCACGCGGCCAGCACGGTCAATTAGACTCTGCTCTTTAATGTACTATTTCCTCCAACGTTGCAATCCCCAACCTCGAACACGATACAGCACTGCTTGAAAAAGGTATTTACACACACCCCACCATCACCCCCTCGTCCTCCCAAGGAGCAAGGCCTCGACTGGCGCTAAGAACCAACCAAGGGAAGTCTCTTGCAGCCTTTCTAGTGGAATGGCAGCAATGAGAGAGGGCAACATAGCTACTGTGATGGTTTCGGTCGCATCCCTGATGAAATAACAGCATGGAGATGGGAGACGGCGTTAATCTATCTCCCCAGCCAGGGCTAGAAGCGTTTCATCTGGCGGCGTTCCTGTCGGCGTTGCTTCTTCTCATTTGGTTCCTGACCGGCGGGCGACGAGTCAGCTGTAAACCAGGGCCCCAGGATGTTCACCCACAGGAGGTAGAGAGCGCGCCCCGGAGCCTGCGAAACACGTGTGGCACAAACTCGGTCACTTTGGGGACAGCTCTGGCAGGGGTGGTGCTACGGTCAGAAGAACTGGTCCTACCGAGGAAGCTGAAGGAGCTGGAATATCTTTACAAGCTGGATCAGGAGCATCACAGGATGCACGGAAATCAAAGGCAGCAGCAAGTGTCCAAAACAAATGGCCTGATTTCATACGGTTTAGGAACTTGCATACGTATACAGCACTTACTTAGGCTTCACATATGGAAATTGCAGCATCAGGTCTGAATTACCCAGAAAGATCCAACTGCCCAGACATTCTGCCTCTCCCTCCTTCAGAAAAAAACACCCATGCTTCTCTAAATGAAAACAAATGTGAGCTGGATAGTCCTCAGGGAATAGTCAGAGTTTAGGCTGCCCTCTGCCAGGCCAGCTAGAAAGGAACAGTGAGTAAGGACTGAAACAAGATAACTTTCTACGCTCCCAAGATTGCCTTTTATACCTTTCTGGGATATACTCAATGCAGCTGGGATTTTTTTTTTAACTAACTGGCCATTTTTTGTCTTTCTGCAAAAGCAGTTTTAGCTGGAGGCACATGACAAACGTTTCAGGAGTAGAAAGCGTCTGGTGTGTGAAAGGGAAATCAAAGCCTACAGCGTTTGATCTACCAAGCGGCTCCCAGCCTCGGTCCGTGCTGGTGAATCACTGAGAAAACCAAACAAGGAGCAGCACAGTCTGTTTGCCATAGTCACAAAAAGGCTCGACGCACAAAGATGGCTTTGATCTGTTTCTTGTTGCCCTTTCACAGGACCAGAGAGAAAGGCCAAGGCCAGCCTAGTTTTTGCATGGTTGACCCAGAGGGATCAGCACTTCTTTCCCTTGTACGGCTGCATTTTTAACAAGATTTGACAGGGAGGTTAAAAAATTTATCAGAAAACAGTTTTGGCCTGAGAGAGGACACTAGGAAATTAAATGGATAAATCATGTCCTCCGTCCTGCAGCCAGGGAAAGACAAGGGCAACACAGAAGCAACAAGGAAAACCGCAGGGGCTTACCAAGAGCCAGAAGTACCAGACGTAGAGCGAGAAGCAGCTCAGCACTTGCACCATGGCTGTCAGCAGGATCACGTCCTTGAGGTGCCTGAGGGAAGAAAAGCAAAACATTAACCTTCCATTCCAGCCTCTGCTGCAGACACCGGTGCCTCTGCCAACACAGCCCATCTGCACCGGCTCTGGGGAGCAACCCGGCCCGACAGAAGGGCTGTCCCTGCAGCTACGCTTTGCCACACACAGTAATCTAGAATAATCAGAGCAGTAAACAAACAAAAAAATAAATCTGACGAGTTCAAGAGCTAGGCTCCCTCTGAAAGGGACATTGAGAAAGCTGAGGAATGCGGGGGGTGGGGCAGGGGGGTGGAAATCAGCAGCAAAACCACCACCCCCGCAGCCTGCCACAGCAGCCGGCACCCACTGATTTGACACCTGTCGTGGCACAGAGTACAGCTGCTCGTGGCTGGCTGCGCTAAAGGGAAGCGTGGCTCTTCCCTGTGCCATTTCACAGGCTGACAGACACGCTCAGGGTCACCAAAGGGCTGGCGTGCTGCAAGGACAAGCACACCGTCGCCCGCAAGGCGAGCTACACCAACCGATGGCTCACCCTCCCCTCCTGCTTATCTGACTCTTCCGTCTTCCACGCCAGCCTCAGGCAGAGCCAAGAGCAGCTACGGAGAGGGACAAGCTGCCCACACCTCAACCACCACCCTGGAGGGGGAACCCAACACCCAGGAGAGGTAAACAGGTATTAGTTTTTCCAACACAAGCCCCAGGGAGTGCCATGATGGGTTAGAAAAAACACCAACTCTTTCACTCCCATTAAATCATCATCTGCTGGAGTAAGAAACACTCGAGTCACAACCAAGCATGCCCTGGAGAAAACAAAGGCAGAGGTAACAGTAATGAAATAGCTTGTCTCATTCTGGGCAGCACATCACAAAATAAAGTGACTTTAGGTATTCATCACCAGAAACAGCTGGTTTAGGTTGGGACATCAGCATCAACTTGAGACGCTGTGGAATCCACCATCAACAGCTCTATAATGGGACGCTGAGGTTCAGAAATCTCATGCATCACCGGCGGCCACAGAGGGGTGACGGCAGAGCTCCCACCAAACCCAGCTCTCCCAGGGATCAGCAAGGTCAGCCTTCCTCAACCCCAAAGGAACACAAAGCTTTCTGTTCCATTTACAGACAGCGCGAGGGAAACGCCACCAAATCCACAGCGTTCCAGAACTAGCTCCAAAATTAATTAGCTGCAGCACGCTCAGCTGAGAGGCAGGAAAACATCCACGTTTCTGAAAGTAACCGCCAGCCTAGAGTGGTTCCCCAATCCCCAGAGCGGGATGCAGTCAGCGAGAGGAGCACTGAGCATTCGTTAGCGCTTTGTGTTCACACACCAATGGGGTTAAACTCATAAGACTTGCACTCTCATGGCTGAGGGCTCTGCCCAGGCTCAGGTACAAAGGTACAGAGTAAGGATGGGAACTTCATCTGTGCAGGTTTTGTGTTTAGAGCTCTGCCTCCTCTGTGTTTTGAGCAGCCCGTGCCTCACACAAGCATCAATTAATTTTAATGTGTCATAAAACTTGCCCCAAGGGTGTGTTGCTCAGGCAGAAAAACCTGAAAGCCCCAGTACCAAGGGCAGTATCATGTCTGCAAGCAGGACTGCAGCGGTGCTGTAACTGCACCCAGCACCTTTCCACAGCAGGTAACGGCATGCCTGTGCTAACTCCTGTCAGTCATTTCCCCTGACAGCACCATCACACACGTGCACGGGGCAGTCACTGGGGCACCCACTCTGCTTTGGTGCCTTACATGTCTCTCACAACTAGGGGGAAACCCCAGACGACATCAAACTTCTGTATTTTCCTTACTTGACTCTTCCATGTTGTGTTTCACAAAAAAGGTACCCGGAATGGTGTAAAATGGGACAAAAATGCTGGGCTGACCAGCAGGAAAATGAAGTCATTATGCGATGAAGAGGGTGTAAAGCACCCGGCTCATAAGTCACGCTAGAAATAACCCTCTCTCTTTCCAGCCACCTCGGCCAAGTCTCTTACACTGGACACCTGAGTCACTCTGGCTGCAGGTAGAAAATTTACTACTCTGCTAACAAAAGCGGAATATGAGAGCTCATCCTGTGCAGAGACAGCAGGTTCTGGGCTGCACAAGGCGGGCTGCCTGCTGATAATATCCCTGGGCATCTCCTGGCTGCAGAAATAAACCTTATGTTAAGAAAAATATAAATGTATAAATCAAGACACGGCCCTTCCACCATGAGAACATGTGACGCAACACAGAGGGCTCAAAAGGCTCCGCGGTGTTTCTTCAAAAGCCTGGCAGCAAGTGAAGACAGAGGTAAACCTTAAATTGTAAGACAAAGACATGGGAGGGAAAGGGCCCAGTATGCCGGGTATCTTGCTGAGCATATGCTGAAGAACCTCAGCAAAGGCTGGACCAACAGAGGCTGAGGGCAGGGAGGATGGAGAACAATGCCTGATGTGTCCACAACTGCCTGGCAGTTTTCTGTAGCTAGTCTGGGGCTCACTGTCGGAAAACATATGATCTTTCTGCTGTTTCAGTACTGTCGTCTCCTTATTTTATTTAACAGCACTTTGCAGGAATTACTGGTGTCTGTTTCTTGACCGAGGAAAAGAGTTACGGCACCAGCAAGAACACCAGACAGGCAAAGACGTGGTGCTGTCTGCAGACAGACACGGGGAAAGCACAAGTAGAGGAGGCAAAAAAGGGTGAGGAGGTGAGAGGAGCTGGCTAAGAAAGACAGACGGGAGGATTTTTAGTGCGTAGAACACTTCAAAACACGACAGTTTGCAGCCAGGACAGGGTAGTTGGCAGTGTGTGCCCTTCCACTCTGTCAAGCGCTGCCTGTGGCACTAGTTTAAAAAGAAAACACATATTTCTGTGTGTTGCAGAAGCGTGTGCAGTGTCAGCAATGTCTCTTCACCAAAAGAAGGTTGTAAACGGCTCCAGCTGAACTGTTTGGGATGTCCTACCTTTGCGCCTCAGCCCTAAGGACAGCGACCGTTCCAAGCTAACGTACCCACGCGGCAGCTTGCGACTAGCGCATGCCAGGCCAAGCATTCAGATAACGAGGACAGTTTGGGTACATTCTCAGAAGAAACAGCCACATGCTTCCAGCTCCCCTCACACCTGCACCAGTGGGCAAGCTGAGGTGGGGACTGAAGCCTGGCCTTCCCCTTCGGGGCCTCTCCCGGCTTTGTGCGCACGCTCAGGCAGCAGGTCCTGCTCACCTGGACTCGTGCGGGTGTGGACACTCACTCTGCCATCCCCTGCTCCATATTCAGGTCAATTCCTCCGTCGGCAAGGCTGCCATCGTCTGTGAAAGACGGCTTTGCCATGGAGTTCATGGACCGGTAGCTGGTGCCGTAGATCACCGAGCTGAAGATGAATGCCAGCTGCAACAAGGAAGCGGAAGCCGCGACCGCCGGGCAGGTTCCTTCCGCAACCGGGAAGGAATCCGGCTTTCCGCCGGGACGGGAATCGGTGCGCTGCCCGCAGCGGCAGCGCGCCGGGCGCTCACCCATGTCCAGGCAGAGGCGGCGGGGTAGAAGATGACCAGGTTCACCATGGCGTAGACGGCCTGCGGAGAGAGCACGGCACGGCTGTCGGCCCGGCCTGGCCCGG